GGGGTGGGGTGCTATAATTCCAAACTTTTAATTATGGGAACCAACTCCCATTTGAGAAACCCCCAGAGTAATCTCATTAGAACAAAAGATGCTTCTAGTGTTCTTATCACTTAGGAGTTTATAAGATTTCAGGAGCCTGTGTCAGGAGCTGGAAATTAAAACCAAATATATATTTACTATTATAAATCACAGTATCACAATAACTTAATATTACTTTGTCCAGGATTGTTTGTATTTCCCTGCTAATAGTTTTGTTTTTTTACTATACTTTGGGAATAAAATAGATCTTGGCCTAACTTACTAGTTTATTATAACAGGACCTCTTAGCTTTTTTTTTTAAATAAGTTAGCTTGATAGTTCCTTTGCTCATATTTATTATTATGTTACCAACCCAATTACTGTTAGTTTAACAGAGCCTCAGCTGTTAAATTTGTCCTTGGTCTACTTAACATTGAGTTATGTTTTTCCCCTGTGTTTAATAATTAGTTTATTATTATTTTTTTCAATCCAGTCTTCTCTATCTCCTTTAAATAAGTATGGCAGATACTTAGAGGACTCCAGTTTGTAGCCAAATCAAAATACAGGGCGTGCATTGGTTTCTTGTAAAGCTGACATTTATTATCTATGATGCACTAAGTACAGGTACTCTTAAGTAACATTTGTGTTCACAGCAGTCCTTCAGAGAGTTATTTGTGATCAGTGTTTGGGTTTCAGGAAGGATTTCCCCTCAAGAAACTGTAATAAACTTTCAAAAAGTAACACTGTAAATCAAAGACACCATGGAAGCACCCTAAATGTCCATCAATAGACAAATGGATAAAGAAGATGTTGTGTGTGTGTGTGTGTGTGTGTATATGTGTGTCTGTGTATGTGTATACACACACAAAGGAATATTACTCACCCATAAAAAGGAACAATAGTGGGTCATTTGTAGAGATCTGGATGGACCTAAGAGGGGGGTCACACAGAGTGAAGTAAATCAGAAAAAGAAAAACACACATTGAATGATACATGTGGAATCCCTTTGTGTATCACAGGGAACTCAGTGCTCCGTGGTGACCTCGATGAGTGGAGTGGAGGGAGCTCCTGGAGGGCGGGGATGTATGTATGCATGTAGCTGATTCACTTCTTTGTATAGCAGAAATGAACACAACATTGTAAGCAGTTATACCCCCAATAAAATAAAAAGAAAAAACACACCTAGCCTCAAGAAGACAGTGTAACTTGATTACATTTGTCTCTAAACTGGACTGTAACTCAGTTGTCTATACTGCAGACTCTGTAGTAATAGTACTGAAGAGAGAATATATCAAGAAGAGAGATCTCATGAGCATGGATGCATAAACAGTGGAGAGGCACTCTGTGGCTATTCCAGTGCTCGGGAGGGAGGGAGCTTCAGCCCTCCCCCGGCCCCGTCCAGCGTCGAGAGAGAAAAGGGGTAGCTATGCAAGGCCCAACATCAAAGCCAGGGCCTCCTTCCCCAGACACACTGCATCATCACGGAGTCACCATGTACCATAAGAGCAACTGGCTTATAGTATCACTGAATTAAATATTTTCAGAGCCAAATAAATTAGTCTGCTCATTTAGCCGGGAGATAAGCTGTGCTTCTTGAAAATTCAGGGCCTGTGTACAGTTGCAGCCTGTCTCTTGTCTCTTGACTTAAAGTATGTCTTCATTCAAGTGGATCTTAAAGATGAGGTGATAGAGTCTGTTAGGAGCAGCGCTGTGAGCCGTTTAATCCAAGTGTTTGGAGTGGAGTGGTGCTCCTGGTGTTGCGCTGGCCTCATGGCACCACACCCCGTGACAGCCCACACCCCTCGCATTGTCACTGCCCTGAGTGAGAAGCCAGGAGCTGGGGTCACTCTGGAAGCACCTGTTGACCACGCGACATTTCGAGTGCATGTCTGGCACAATTCTGATCTCCACAGCTCTGAACTCTGCTTTATCTAGAGCAAAATGTAATCCAGACCTTACCTTCTGTGTCAACCAGTAAGCCTCTATATTACTCTTCTTTGCAATCTGTGAATATGTATTATGACAGAAATTCAGAGTAATATAGCTTTTTAGACCAGGCGAAACATACTCGAGGCAACAAGCTGATACTCCTCAAAAAAGGAGATGTTCTGGGAAAGAGGAGTTGCCTCTGCTGCTCCCCACCTCTTTGATTCATATATTACATGCTTTTGTTGTTGTTGTTGTTGTTTTCACAAGTTGAACATATTCCAGAGGGCACAATGTTTTTAAGACATCTTTTATAAATTCTTCTTTGGGGGTTATAAAAGAATATTGTGGTATGCATTCTTTATTACAGTACAGTTCTAAGTATGCCAAGGTAATGTGGGGAACAGCTTTAAAAAGAGAAAACATACCTTTTACCTTTCAGGGAGCAGGGCTGTCTCTTTTAAACTGATTCTGTCACTCTGGCACTCATGATTTTAAATGTTGTTTTAGAAACAAAATAAGTCTGGATGGAACAGAGAAGTGCTCTAGATGAGACATGCCAAGGGGAAGTCAGAGAGACCCCTTGTACCCACCACCTGTTTCTACCTAGAAATTCACTCTCCTGAGCTCTTTTTTGCGTAAATCTTGGAGGTTCTGTATATTCTGCTTAATAAGATAGACTTTTATTAGGTGACAAATATAGTGTTTTGTTAAATAAGTGAAGACTAAAATAAGAATAGTCACTGATTTTAGCAAGTCTATATAGAAAATAACATGATTGTTAAAAAAATAGGTTCTTATAAATCAATAAGCCTACACAATATAAATCTGTAGCACATTATATTTTCAGAGGATTATACTTGAAAAATCATATATGCAAAGATATCTGTATATGATGTATTTTAACACAAATTCATTGTAAAATAATAGAATTGTGCTTTTTCTATATGAGACACTTCCTGAGTGTTCTACACATAGAGATCCACAATCGTAAAATCCAATAAAAGCTCTGAAAGCGTTTTTCATAAGTTGGCCTGAACTTACTTGGTGCTGAAATATGACCTAAATTTACTTGAGGCTATTTATAGTCTTTATTGATTCTATTTAATTTGAATATCCATTCATTTCCTGCAGAAATACTAATGTGCTTGCTTGTGACGTGCTGCCCCAGGCCTTGCTAGTTCTGCATGTCTGTTGGCCTCAGTATTGCCATTTGACCTTTCTAAAAAAATAAAATTCTGAATTTCAAAGTTCACTTGGCCAGAAAATAATCAGATAAAAGATTTTGGACTGATGTTTACTCTTTTACTCCTTGCATCAGTGCTGTCAGATAGATACTGTTCTTGTCTGTGTTTTATAGATGAGGAGACTCAGGAAAAAAGAGATGAAGTCTCTGGACCAAGGTCATAACAGCCAGTGAGGGGTGGAGCTGGGATGTGAGCCCGGGGAAAGTCATTAATGGAAAGACATTACAAATGTAATAGAGTAGAGATACTTGCTTTCTTTTTATATTAGCTATCTTTGGGTCTGACCTAACAATAATCTTTATTTATGTAGTTTTCATTTCAAGAGTTCCATTTTAATCACATGTCGCCTTACTAGATCCCCATCTGCTTCCCTGTTTTCTGAATTTAAATTTAAATTTTTTATATAATTTTGGTTTTTTGGTACATTTTTACAGGATAACTGACCATATATTTGACACTGGAATGTACCCTTACATGCCACTGGAAAATCACTATGCCACATGAGAACCAAAGTTAACCAGTTTAATTACAGTGACAATTTAATAAACTTGTGAAAATAGGACAAATGATAAATTCTTTTTCTAAATAATTATTTCAAGTTATTGCTTCAGATCCAGTGCTGACTTCCATGATCAGGTTTTCAAGAAAGAGGGCCTATCATGGACAAAGTATTCTTTGTTCACTTTCTTATTTTTGTTATGCTTTATATTCTGAGAATTTACTTTTATTTGCTAAGTATTTATGCATATAAAATTCACATGATTTTGTGAGTTTAAGTATGAATGTTGCAGTTGTGTATAATGATTTCAGAGTTTCTGAAGGATGAAGGGAATCCATTTTTTAAAAAATTTCTGTAGGTTCTCAAATTTTATTTTAAAACAGATAATCTTACAGCTTAAGACACTGTTAGAAGAAACTATAATGAAGTATCTTTTATATTTGAAATCTTGACATTCTTGTCCTTTTGCCTCACATGGAATATTCTGTATAAAATAATATTGAATTTGTAGTGGGGAAGGAAGTCCCAAAACGAGGATATGTATACATATAGCTGATTCACTTTGCTGTACAGTAGAAGCTGACACAACATTGTCAAGCAACTATATGCTAATCAAATTTAATTTTAAAATACGTTGAATTAATAGTAAGAGGAAAGAGTACTATTCATTAAGTTGAGTAAATGTCTATCTTTGTTGAATTATATGTGATTTATTCTGTCTTCAAAACAGCGATTTTTCCTTTATTTTTGTTTTGAGGAAGGAGAACTATTGGGGTGGAGGGCTTGGGACAAGTATTTAGATTGTTCTTTAATTATTTTTACTGTCTAAGCTACCATTTATTTTAAGAAAAGTCACTAGTTTTCCATCATGACATTTGACCTGAGTCTAAAAAACACTCCACATGTTTTTTAGCTTCACAGAAGGTCAAAATAAATATTAAATGAGGTCATTGGTATGCACACTTAGAATGCAAAGACTCTAATCTTGATTTTCAATGGGGAAAAAAATCTGTTTTCTTTTTATGGGATGTACATCTTTCTCTCCTCTGATGAGAAGCTTCAAAATTGTTAATCTTAGCTTTGAGACATGTCTAACACTCATAGTTGATATCTCTGCTTGGTTAGTGTCACATGGCTCCTTGGGTAGGTTTCCAGCACTTTTCACTGCTAATCTCCAGGTTACGCCCAAAGAGTTCTAGGAATCCCCCTTTCAGTTACCCCTTTTGATACCTTGTTTTTGATAACACTTTTCTTTCTTGGCTTGCATGACATTTTATCTTTCTTTTCCTTTCTTTTTGCCGTTTGCAAAGACTCTTGGGAGGATTTGACAGATTTGGTGGAGCAAATGCGCGATGATACAGAAGGTGCGTGCCACACCAGCATCTTTCAGCTTTTTTTTTCCTTTCTTTCTTTTTCTTTCTTTTAATTTTCTAACCACCTTTTGATTGTTTTCCATAAGAAGAAGTGTCCGCTTTAGGTTTTATTTCCCATTGACAGTAGCTGGAGCAGTAAGCATGTTTGCCAGATTGTCCATGCAGGTGCTTCATACAGGAGTAGGGTTTTGAGTCTTGGATTTAAAACCTTTATGGTTCCAAGTAAAGTGGCATTAATATATGTTTATGCTGTTCGTTTAGGATATTTGTTAAATGACATGTTCAAAGGGGACTTTATTTCAAGATTGTATCAATTTTTTCTATGTCTGTTTTTTCATTTGTTTCTTAGGAAAATGTAAATGGTTTTTATATCATTAATTTTAAAATGTATATATGTGTGTGTGTGTGTATATATACACCTATTTCTGTGAATTCCACAAATAGTTTAAAAACAAACAGACCCCAGGAACATCAAGTATTTGGTCTGGAATGTTGCTCTGATTTGTAGATTTCCATCAGAGTAAGCACCTTGAGCTTAGTCATCTTACAGCATTCCTTTCTGGTGGAATTTCTTTGACAAGTAGCACATACATTTTAATGCATGAAGGCTCCCAAACCAGTAATTTTTTCTTCCATAGTTGGTACGTTACTTTAAGGAGCTCAAGGTGATTTACACTTTTTATAAGAAAAATTGAAGTCTGGCTCCACTTCACTGTATCATTTTACATTCTCCCACTTTGGCTGGGCAATTGAAAGCACCCCCCCAGCTTCAATGTACATTCTCTTAGCACACACCCACCCACCACTCTGCCCACACTGGCCTTTCCACTGACTATATGAACTGCACTCAGCCTCCTCCCTGCCTTGTTCCCATGACATCCCAACCAGAACATTCACTCCCCTTCTCCCCACCCCCAACCCTGCACCCCGAGTCTCTTCATGAGAACTCTACGGAAGCACTCCCTGACAGCTCTGACACAGTTCATTTTTCCATAAACTCAGGTCCTGCAGAACTTGGAGCTTAAGGTTTTTTACTTGTCCTCTTCTTCTTGTGTGTTGACATTCCTACCTAAAGTGTAAAATCCTTGAGAGCAGAGATTGTCTTAAAATTCTTGGTACTCATATCAACTTGGGAGAGTATTGTCTTGGTAGATTTGGTCACACTGAACAAAAATCTAAGTCAGTTTCTCTCTCCAATGATGCCCAATAGTTTTTTCTTCAGCACTTCATTTTCAATGAGTCAATTATCCTGAGTTTCATGCCATTTCCTAGAGTCAAACTGTCTTTTTATTCCATCTGAGGTTTTATTTTTAATGTAATTAGCTATATGTATTTTAAAGAAAAAAACAGATCAGTATTGTCTAGTCCTGAGAGTTTCTGAACAAGTGAAAAAGAGAGCAGTGTTGATTCATTCAGTGAGTACTGTCTACTATGTTAGCTGCCATTTTGATTATGATTATTATTTACCAGACACTAAAGAGGTTTAAGGTTTTGGTTCCTTTAATAAACTTCATACATAAAGGCCAACAAATCTGTGTCCTTCTTAAGAGACTTCTTCCCTATGACTTAGTCCTGGCAAAATTCTGTTTCTTTAATATGAATTACTACTGTAAGAATCAAGTCTACTGTGTGAGCCAGCCTCCTCTTTTTCATTTCTTTTTTGATGAAATTTTTGTGAATCATTATCAGAGGGGAAATCAGGGGAAAAAAAACAAGGTATGAATTTTTTTTTTTGAAGTGTAACTGAACCATATTTCTTAATTACTGCTGTATGGCAAAGTGACTCAGTTATACATACATATGGGTATATATACATACACATCCATTTTCATGTTCTCTTTTCGATTATGGTTTATCGCAGGAATCTGAATATAGTTTCCTGTGCTATGCCGTAGGACCTTGTTCATCCATCCTGTATATGCCAGTTTGCATCTGCTAATGCCAGATTCCCACTCCATCCCTCCGCCAAGCCCCACCCCTTTGACAACCACCAATTTGTGTTCAGTGTCCCTGATTCTGTTTCTGTTTCATAAATAGGTTCCTTTGTGTCATATTTTAGGTTCCACAAATAATAAGTGATATCACATGGTATTTGTTTTTCTCTTTCTGATTGACTTCGTGTGATCATCTCTAGTTGAATCCAAATAGCAAATAGCATTTTTTTGTGCTTTTTTTTTTTACAGCTGCAAAGAACATTATTTCATTCTTTTTTATGGCTGAGTAATAATTCCATTGTATATATGTACCACATCTTATTTATTCATTGCTCTGTTGTTGGACCCTTAGGTTGCTTCCATTTCTTGGCTATTGTGAATAATGCTGCTATGAATATAAGGGTGCATGTAAGAACATGTGAGTTCTATTACTTCGATGATCCCTACCAGTAAAGTGGTATATGGTAATGTGAGCCAAGAACCTATTTACAGGAAAGTCTTACTGCAGTATAGCTTAAAAAAGAAAATCAGAGTCAGGGAAGGAAAATGGCTTTACTTGTTAACTCTTTTGAGTCATTTCATCCTTGCCTTTTGTATAGAATTTCCTGCATCTTGTGTCTCATTTCAGTTATATGAAATACTAGAATTTATGTGTCAGGCTTCCCTGATTGCTCAGATGGTAAAGAATCGCCTGCAATGCAGGAGATGCTGGTTCGATCCTTGGGTCAGGCAGATCCTCTGGAGGAGGGCGTGGTAACCCAACTCCAGTATTCTTGCCTGGAGAACCCCATGGACAGAGGATCCTGGCAGGCGACAGTCCACGCAGCCGCAAAGAGTCGGACCGAACTGAGTGACTAACACCTTGACTTTCACTGTGGAGTATTCCCCACACATAACACCCACAGCAGCTCAGGGTGGGGAGGGGAGCCTGTAGTCAGACCCGGTAGACTCAGATCCTTTCAGGAGACCCTGCACTGCTGAGCTGTTTTAATTGTATGTATCAGTTATTATGGCTGTGTCAAAAGAGGTGGCTTTTTAATAGGCAAAGTGTTAACACTAGCTTCCATTTTCCTGAAAAACTGCTTTTTAAAATAACAAACTCTAGGAGATCACAGATATGAACTGTTCATTTTGGGGTTTGATTTTTCTTGTGTTTTGTTTTGATTTTGGCAAGATTGAAGGTTTTTCCAGGGAACTGATTTCTTACAGTGATGGTTGGTTTTTCAGTCAACATGTCTGTAACTTACGTATGGTAGAATATGGAATGTCTTGTTAGGACAGAATTGTATCATGTTTACAACACTGGTCAATTATCTCACATATTATCTCATTATGTGCTATTAATTCAGGTTTGGAAAAGTTTGAAACTCACTAAAAGATTCTGAAGACTAAATGAAATAATGAAAGCACATGGTTTACCTTCTTTAGTTTCTCACTAAACACTGAATTCCTATCTGTACTTATATAAACCTTTTAAACAGATTCTGTATATTTGCAGTTGCCCAGATTACTCATCTCTCTGAGCCCTGGAGTGGCTGGGATGTTATTTGAATTAGGGAAATAATATACTTGTGTGAAATAATCCCTGATCAAGATGGCTTACTGGTCCCTTGATGTATTTCATGAGTTACTACTTGATGTCCGTCATCTTGAAAAATGGAAGGAATATATCGAAGAGATTTTTTTTTTAGCATCTAGTGCTGTATCACACATATGTTCAACGAAGGTTTATTTTTTGAAATTTTTATTTAGTTGGTTTTGGCTGCACTAGGTCTTTATTGCCGTGTGCAGGCTTTCTCTAGTTGCTGTGAGCAGGGTCTACTCTTCTGCTTGTGGTGCTTGGGTTTCTCACTGCAGAGGCTGCTCCAGGCCCTGCTCCAGGCGGAGCACAGGCTCCAGGGCACATGGGGTCAGTAGTTACGTCACATGGACTTAGTTGCTCCAAGGCATGTGGTATCTTCCTGGGCCAGGAATTGAACACAAATCCCCTGCATTGGAGGAGAAGGCAGTGGCACCCCACTCCAGTACTCTCACCTGGAAAATCCCATGGACAGAGGAGCCTGGAAGGCTGCAGTCCATGGGGTCGCGAAGAGTCGGACACGACTGAGCGACTTCACTTTCAGTTTTCCTTTCATGCATTGGAGAAGGAAACGACAACCCACTCCAGTACTCCCCCCTGGAAAATCCCATGGACGGGGGAGCCTGGTGGGCTGCCGTCTATGGGGTCGCACAGAGTCGGACATGACTGATGTGACTTAGCAGCAGCAGCCCCTGCATTGGCAGGCAAATTCTTAACCACCAGGGCAGTCTCAGAAGGCTTATTTTAAATTAAATAAAATTGTTTAATTTATCTATGGAGGACCATAATACTTTTGAAAGCTAACAATTTTTTATTCTTAGTACAACCTAAGCATTTCTAAATATTTAATGCATGAGCTTGTTTGATCTTCAGAACCCTATCATCATTCTTATGGATAAAAGAAGTAAGGCCTGCAGAGTTAAGAAACTTTTACAGTGGAATACTACTCAGCAATAAAAAGGAACAAACTATTGATAACCTGGATGGATCTCTCAAGAATTATGCTGAGTGAAAAAAAAAAAAGCCAATTTTAAAAGTTACATATTGTTTGATTCCATTTATATAACATTCTTGAAATGACAGCACTACAGAAATGGAAAATAGATTAGTAGTTGCCATGGGTTATAACAGGGTAGGAGGCAGGAGGGAAATGCTTGTGGCTATAAAAAGTCAAAATGAGGGATCCTTGTGACACAGTTCAGTGTCACATCCTGGTCATCATAAGACTCTAGTTTTGCAAAATATTACCTTTGGAAGAACTAGGTTAACTAGGAGAACTAGAGAACTAGTATCTCTCTATTATTTCTTACAACTGCATGTGAAGCTCCAATTGTCTCAAAATGATAAGTGCAAAAAAATAAAAAGGGAAAAAAGAAACTTGCTTAGGGTTACACAGCTAAGGGAAAAGTTCAACTATGAGTTCAAATGCCAGCAAACTAGTTGCAGAGCTGTGCTCACCCACTTTACCAAAGTTCAAA